TAGATAGATAGATAGATAGATAGATAGATAGATAGATAGATAGATAGGACAGACAGACAGACTGACTGACTGACTGACTGACTGACTGATTGATTGATTGATTGATTTGCACGAAACTATGTCCAGTTAAAAAGAAAGTTTTACATTTTCTTTTTTCTTTTTAATACAGTTGCTTTTAAATTAGCACTTTGTGCTACTGATTTAAGTCCCCAAAGGAGGGGGTGCTGTTTTCTCTAACCATACGCTTCAAAGCAACACAGGCCAATGGGTGGCATTTTAGAATTAATTTCATGTTTATAATCTTTTCCCTTTCTACTAGCAAGGAAGGCCAGTGGGTGGCTGGGTGGGTTCTCTCTCTCTCTCTCACACACATGCTGGGTTTAAGGGGAAGGATGGTGGGTAAAGACAAAACTCCAGGAGATAAATGGGACAGGGATAACTACTGAGCAACCATACAGCAGGGCCAGGGTGTGTAAATGCCAGAGGACGTCTAGGAAAGGAAGATGGAGGACCTTTTATACTATGGGCTCAGCTATGCCCCTACAGAAGAGTTATTGAGTTCTGCTATAGCTTTTATAAGGGCTTCTGTGCCCATTTCTGGAACGCTGTTTACCATTTCTCCCTTATTCAAGAATAGCACACGATAAGCAGTCCTATTTTCCTGCTGAAATCACACCAACGCTACCAACAGGGATATCCCAAGCCTTTCCTGTCTGCTCAAAAGGCAGACAGCCAGTAAAAGTAAAAAAAATAAGTAAAAAATCAGTCAGCCAGGAAGGCTGATGACCTAACAAGAGGAGGTAGGCAAGGAAGACACGGAGAAGTACACAAGTGCAAACTAGCAGAGTACGGAAAACTAGTGCAACTTTCACACTAAAAGGGAAGGCGGGGTGGGGAAGACACAGTGTGGCCATTTCATCCACTGGTTGCACACCCAGATGTCACACATGATGAAAAAAAATCACGAATGATAATTTATAGGAGCTGGTTGACTCTCATTTTAATTCCTCTTCAGGTTCTACAGAATGAAGGTAAAAAGGCACTGCGCATGTCTGAGAATTGATGAATGATTGATCAACTGTCTGGCCTTTAAATCATCAATCAACTACCTTGCCATGAATGCAAACTGTGTGAAACATCAGTGGAGATACCTATCTGAGTATTGAATGTGTGAGCATTTACAAAATCTATGTCTTTCCGGTTGGGAGGAAATGCCATTTTCTGCTTTAGGAATATAGATTAGCTTGGGGAAAGTCGGCTCGTATGGTGTAGGCGTTAGAATGTTGGACTTGTACCGTGGAGACCCAGGTTCAGGTTTCTAGATGACCAGAGACCTCACCAGGTGACTCTGGACAAGCAGGTCTCTCCCAGCCCAAACAGAGGTGTGGCTGCTGCTGCTGTGGGGGGGGCAGAAGTAAAGGGAGACCCACATATACACTGCCTTGAGCAAAAAAAAAATAAAAAAAATGCAACAAACCAAACACACTATGGAAGCTAAAAATGTATATAATGGAAATTGCATATATTTTAACCAAACACCGTCTGCTTCAGGTATCCACCACACTAACTCTAAAAATGAAAGCCAGATAATTGTATTTCGAGAGGCAATCTATCTGTCAGCTTTGCATACTGTAAATTGAAAAAGTAATCCATCAACTTTAAGTGGCATCTGAGTTCATCTAATTAGTGGATGGCAGAACTTGAAAAGACAAAGAATGCTCGTTGATTCAGTAGGACCTCCCTCCAGGTTCTGAAGCCATCAATCATGGCTTTGGTCTGGGATCCTTGCTAGTTTGGGGTGGGGGCATTATTCTGGGAGGGCTCCCATGACTTTTGACTGAACATTCACAGCACATTAATGAGTTTCCTTAGGATGCAGTTTTGTCTACTACGCCTTTAAAAACACAACAGTGGGAAGAGCTACCCAGGCACTGAACATTGGTTATCTTTATTATTGTAATCATAATCAGTATCTCAATTTTTCAACAAATGTCCAGATTTCCATTATCCGGGTAGAAGATATGGGCTTGCAAATGGTAACAAATCTGCTAATCTACTAACAAGATTGAAATTCCAGTGATCTATAAGTAATCCAGTCTGTTCTAGAGAGAGTTATAATGCCTCTGAAGGACCAAATTCTTGGCTTGGAAGTGTATCTGGACCAGCACTGATTTTGTTAACTAACTAACTAACTAACTAACTAACTAGGCACTGCAGCTAGGAAAGCCATTGCCTCATTTGGAGTGTTATTCTGCTTTCAGGAAAGGTTGGTTCTGGTCTTACTGATCCAAAAGAAACTGGATGATCTATATGTATATTAGATATGTATAATGAATATTAATAACTTTCAATATACCAAATTTAATTTCTTTTAGGTATGTGCTTTGCAGACAAATATACCAACCACTTTTCAGTTTCCTCTTTGGCTCAGTTCAAGTTGTTATATTTTACCTATGAAGCCTTAAAGACAGTCCATCTGAAAAAAAATCAGCTCCTATTTATGAATATTTTTTATGATTTATTATCTTCTGCAGAAGCTTTACTGCAGTGCTTTTCAAACTTGGCAACTTTAAGATGTGTGGACTTTAACTCCCAGAATTCCCCTGCCAGCCATACATCTTCAAGTTGCCAAGTTTGAAAAGCACTGCTTTATTGTATATCTCATGAACAACAAATTATTAGGGATGGAGCCTTTCCTGTGATAGCACCATAATAAACTCCATAAGGTTAAATTAGACCCAATTTTAAACAGATCCTAAAGACATTCTGCTTTCTGGTTATTTCACAGATGGTGTCCTCGGTTCTGAATTTGACTAATTCAAGCAAATACTCTTTTTAAAGTTGCATTGTATTGGGGGGGGGGGAAGCTTCTGAGCATAAATGTGATTTTTTTTTTTAGTACTTTTAAGAAAATTAATCACATTTCCACAAATCAGTGCACATAGGGAAGAAGAAAGGTGTGATGCTAAAGCAGGCTGTAATTTGACCAAACCTTCCAGAATTGGCCTTTCTTTGCTTATTTTCCATCTACCAATTGATCATGCAAGGATTGTTGATTTGTGGTTTAAACACTGAGTTAATTTGTTCTACCGATTAAAACGCACAACCCCATCCTCCCCATGTTGGAACAGAATTTCTTCTAGGAGCAATTTTGTAGCTGGAAAAGCCTTAACTTCATCTCTTCTCTTCAGCTCAATCGCTAAGAGCAGAGAGGAGGACATTCACCTCAGCGCATCCACCTCTTCTTTTGCGAGAAACCTGCTGGGCTCTTCAGTGGATGCCTGTCTCTTCAGCATCTGCAGCTCTACCTCCAGCTACAAAATAAAGAGGAGAGATGGAAGTTAGCTTTGTTTGTTTGTTCTGGTCACCAGAGATCAAGATAGATGACCACAGATCAGGCTTCCACACCCATGAAGCATTAGATGAAGACTATTTGGTGGTCGGTAGCGTGGTTTAAAGAGAAGCGGGCTGCAATCCCATATTATGAGACTGACATTACCCACAGTTGGTTAAACAAGCCATAATATTCTGGTTTACTAATCACTCTGAGCTATTATAGCTGGGTTGACACTTCCTGCTGAAGCAAAAATGAATAAACAATATTATGGCTTCACATAACAGGTGATAGACCTACACAAATTTCTATTACTAAGTCAAGACCTTGAAAATCAGAAATCACTGCTTTTCTTGGTCAAAAATTATGCTTAGCCCATACTATATCAGATTATTGTATGAAGTCATTGAATGAAAGTAAGAAGTCCAAGGCACTGAAGCTTACTTTTTCTTCAGTGCCACTTTCAGGGATCATAGTATCTATGCAAAGATGAAAGTTCACCTGCAAGAGCAATCTCATTAAAATAATTCAAGAAACTTCAAAGGAAGAGCAAGATTCTACTCTAACAAAGTGGTCCCTGCTCTAGGTGTGAGTAGAGTACTCATGGGTGTCTGGGTATGAAGAAGGGAGACAAACAATGTCACATGTGTGAGATGCCATTTGCCATGATGATGTTATGATTCACACAATGCTATTTTGATATCACTATGGTTTCTACCAGACACCTATGGGAATACAGTACACCAAGCTCTTTTATCTGACTTACCTTTGATTGTAATGTGAGATACAAGGAATAGATTTCCTTGCTTTTCAATGAATCATCAACCGTGGAAGACATATTTGGAGAAGATAATAGCAGAGTTTCAGCTGTTCCTTACTGAAGGATTAAGTATTTCTCTCCTGGAATTTTTTTAAAAAGATCTTTGCCTCCACAAGTCTTACTAAATTTAGCTTAGGCAAATATCACATCTAACTTTAGGTCACTCCTATTAAAAGCTACCAGTTCCTTCAATGCCACACCCTACTTCCAACCAGCCTTCTCATCCTACCCAACCTTTACAAAAATTAGTCTTCTTTAGTTTTCCATCTAAAACAACACAAACAAACAAAAACCACGAAGAAGTCATGGTAAAAATGCAGAGCTTTCTGCACATGTAGAAAAATAATAAACAAGGTGCCTTAACTAGAGATGCAAACCCAGGAACGCATACTGAAATCTCTGTCTATGGCACCAGGGGAGATAATGCATTAGCATACAATATCCTTCGACAATGCAACTGAGACTCTCACAGCATCTTAATTCCACTCTGCAGGATGGGGTCCAAATGCAGCCATAGTGGCTCCAACAGTAGATGCAATGTATGCATGTATGTGTGTGACTCCATTGGCAGAGCAGGTAGAAACAACAGCTTGTTGATAACCAAGAAGCCATGCCTTGATCAGCAAATAGTTGGAAATGGAGCTATAGGAGCAGCTATAGGTTGTGTAGGACAGCCTGCCAAGTTATGGGAACACACCATGCAGAGGAGAAGTGACACTGGTGATGACTGCTTCTGCCATCTCAATCAGGAAAGGGGAATGTTTTGCTAAGAGACGCAACTTTATTTCCCACCATCCCCCTTGGATGACGGCCCCAACGAGCACAAAGGGTCAGGCCAGGAGAAAGTAATAACAAATCACAATCAAAGATGAGGGGGAAGAATGGCAAACGTGAATATGACCATTCAAATTAGCATTCTGAATCTTAAATGATGCTCCGTGGCCAAATTTGTTGCTGAATCTGGTAATCTGGTAGGCACCATTTAATGGAGGCCCACCAACTGTATGGAGCCTGTTGGTACAGATAGCCAACCTGGATCTCAATGAGCACAGGAAGAGGACAAAAGAAGCAAGGGCTGGGGGCAGGTTGTCTTAAGGATCACCTTCACTCATACGATCCTATCCAATTTTAATGTGACTCACTGACCATCAGCAAGACTGATTAAGCTGGCAGGCAAGAGAAATCAGACTTTCTTGATAGTGGCCCTACTGGGAAGTACCTTCCAACTGATCCATACACAACCTTTCACTGTAGGCCCTTAATGATTCTCCTGCCTTAAAGTGGTTTAACTAAACACTTGTCCCATTGTTTAGCCACTTCGCAAGCTCCTCTTGTAGACTCTGTTCCGTGGTCTGATCTTTTTGTATTAAAGCATCTTAGCAAATGTTATGCACTGACCAAGTTCTCTAAGAAGGCCCAGAAATGCTTAAAGCGCATTTCAAAGAGGATTCAAAACTAGGCCTCTGGCCGCCTCCTAAATCTGCCCTTACCTGCATTCTCATATCGTTGGAAGAAAAAAGAAATGATAATTCATATTGGTTGGCCGGTAAGATGACCCCAGTGAGAAATATTGTCCTCAATTTTCTGATTACTGGATTTCTCTTTTTTCTAGCTCAGCCCATCACAGATGGCCAGGTTAAAGCTGGCGCTGAAGATAATTCCAGGGATGGGGTATCCAAGGCACCAGGCAGCCTAGCAGGAGACTTTCCATTCCACCCCACCCTTCCAACACAAAGCCATTTATCATGTGCATTGCCTTGCCTTTCCTGCCGAAGGTTGCAATGAGGTTTGTTATTATAGTTCTGAGCTGCTCCCCTGGTCTGTGTGCGGACAGCGTCCTGAAGAACGAGCACCAGTAAACAGCCTATTTATCATTGGCTAAGCGGCCTCAGCCTTGAGTGCAGCTGCCACCTGTTCTCTTGACATGAACAGATAAATTGCCAACAGCTCCCTTTGGAGAAGAAGGCCTGGGGCTCATAACAGATTGCTGTGCCCTGCAATTGTGCACTGATGGCCGGAAAGGAGGTTGAGGGTTTTATGAAAGCATGCAGGTATCTGTGCGACAGAATAGCTAGGTTCTCCGTAACTATTGCAATAGCAACTTTGGGATGATAATGGAGTGACAATTCGCACCTTTCTCCATGCATGGCAATGTGCTAGTACGCTGCGCTGTTGAAAAAAAAATGTCCCAAAGGCTTGATTATTATTCACAGAGCTGTTGGACAACTGAAAAATCTTCCTGGAGAACCGTTAGTATGTTTAGAATGCAAACTTCCTTTGATATTTTGCAGAATTACACAACGGCATCAGAAGTTTAAGATTAGTAGTAGGTATCACGGACTTAATGAACCCCTTAACAACTTCATGTGACACAGGATCAGACCTCATTGTATCTGATGTCCTGAAAGCCATTACTGGGAATGCTCATCCTTTACATCCACCAAGGCCCTCATGACATGACTAAGGATGCGTTCAAGAGTAACGTTGTCTGCTACAATGCACTAAGCAAGATTAAGTGCTCTGACCATTCACTGGCATTTTCCGAACAGCTGGAAATTTTTAAGTGGGTCTCACCAAGAGGTAACTTGTGAGCTACAAGCATACAGCTAACTTTTGGGTAAAAGTACTCAACAATTCTGCCTTGAACGGAGACTACTGCATTCTGAGGCTATGATTTTAGCTAATGAGCTCCCCAGTTCAGTGGGTGCTGAGGCCTCACCCCATCTTCAGACGCAGTTTGAAATTGTGGAGCATTCATTCCTGCACATGTTCAGGCCACTTAAAAATAGGAAGAACAGCTCCAGATTCTCTTTACCTAAATCACAGTAATATACACGTGGGGCGGGGGAGCAGGGGAACATAACTTTCCTGGCTTTCAGTTTGATCACTGGGCATATATTTTTACATCAATTTTTCTGTGGAACACAAATGACCAAGTTTCTTTTAAAAAAACCACTATGAGCACAATTAGAAAGGTATTACATGATTCCTCTGATATCACAGTAGGAGCTTGGCTGTATCTTTAGCAACAATTCTATTGTATTTTCTGTAATCAAGGCTGCGAGGTCTATTTACAAAATGCTGGCACGGAAATACACTTTTGGCACTTGTTTACATGACAAACTTACATTCTGGGGCACTCCCAGTTTGAAAATTGCAAGGAAATGTTCCTTTTGGAAAGCATGGACAAGTACACTATTAATACTTTAGATCCACTTACTGCCATCATGTTTTTAAACTGAGTTACGGCAAGAGGAATTTGAATTGCCTAAATTTGCAAAACGGCAGTACATTTAGTGAAAACATCTGGATCGTGCCATTTGATACAGATGCATTAGCAGCATCTTAAGCTCCCAAATTACTGTCAGTACTGGAACATGGTTTGGGTGGTTTTAAGTCTATAGTATTTTTAAAAAATGAAAAAGCATCACCAAGATGGATATTAGTAATGTGCGAGTACTCTGGAATAAAGAGTTGGAATCTTCTACACTAAGAAAACAACAGCTAAGGGTCTTAATGAGTATCAAGTCTCTCTCTTAGCATAATTCAACAGAGATTTTTTTTTCAAGTTTCTTGCACACCTCAGATGACGTTTTAGAAGGCTTGGCCGTCAATCTTATGTTGGAAGTTAAAATGCGGGAAAGGGCCCAGTCATATAATATGATTGGGGCCTTGGCAATGATTGCTCCATGTTGGTTTAACATCTAGGTTTGTTGATTTGAAGTTACAAAACTTAATAAGGTAGCCTCGTCTGGAAGCAGTTAATCCTAGAAACAAGTCTTTCAGAGCTCTGATTAGGAAGATTTATTAAGGAGAAGGTTAAAGCAGCAACACAAGAATTCCAGAGAGGACTCTATTTTCAAATGAGAAACATGTATTATTGGCAAATTAGGGTGGGAAGATTCTGGGGTTTTATTCCCATGCTCTTTTGATGTATGGGGAGACGTCTTGTTTTTGATGTGCAGGGAAAAAGGGGAAGGCAGTCTGCACCTGTTGATTATTGGTCTGCTAGACTTCTCATCAATCTGAGAACCAGCTTTCATATGAATGGACTTTTGAATTATGTACCAAAGATCTGGAACGTGTTACTTTATGGAAAGTGACAGATTTACCATGCATGGAGCAAAACAGATTCCTTTTCAAGCACTGGAAACCCAGTG